CCTCTGCCCTTCAAAAATTCCTGAGGTTCTCAGTTGAAGATTTAATGCCAAAATTTAATAATGAGATACTCTCAAGCTTCACCTTATCTTTCTCGAACTCCTGGGTTTTTTGCAATCCATCGTCTCCACCGAGTTGTGCCTGCAATGTTTCTGTTCAGCGACCGTTACAGAGAACAGTTCTAGAAAATCACTTTATTGATGCAATTAAAGATCCATTTCGCAGTTACTTTTGAGGCTGACCCATCCAGCTCAAATAGGAAGGTCAGCAAGCAGAGAGGCTTTACTGGCTTTACTACCTTCGCTACTGGGGGTGCGTGACAAGGCGTCACCAGATTCCGCGACGCTATTTACACTTCGCACATCTAATTAGGAAAATCGACGCCTTATACATGCGGTGTACCGGTACGGAATAGTGGTTTTTCGCCCTCATTTTTACACGTTGCTGTGAATTAAACGCAAAGAGGGAAATCACATTCAAGGCATTTTCTTTCCCTTCCGCTTAGCAGCAAAGTGTCCTCAAGTCTACGAATTGATATGCGAACTGCATCGCCCAAGGGTTGCCATCGCAAAATGTGCTTTGAGAAGAAGTCCCAGTCATCCTGTTCGAGCTAACTCTAACAAATGTCTTCGGAGTTTATAACTGAATCTCGAGAAAATGTAGAGACGAATGAGTGGCTTCAGGTAACCAGTGCAACTCACGTCCTTCTTAGCAGCCTCAGCTTTCATTGCTCTGAAAAAAGAGATTGATTGTAACGGGTATCAGATCTCGGACGTGTTCTTAGTTCCTTGACAGGCTTGGTCCCCGTGCAACTGCTTATTTCCGTACAGCGTACATCATCGTGGTGTGTAAAATGATGGTATCAGCACGACTCTTGACAGGGCAACTCTCGGTACGACCTCCCCTCCCCTCCCGCAGCAGCTATCTACCACTTCCCTACAAATTCCCAGCTTCCTAACACTTTTTCCACTATCTCCCGGAAATTTTCTCACTTTTTCAAAAATTTTGTTGTCAAGCGGTGGAGGGGGAGGGGTTGGGGCATGTAGCCAATGCGAAACGGGGGAAACCGCGAAAAGTCAACCGGGAAAAAATCCTTTCCTGACGCGACAAATTTCCTCTGAGGCACATGCGATCCCCCTCTGCAGCGGCCAGAAATGATCCCCAATTAAGGAAGCCAATCGCCTGTTCTTATAGCAGTTGACTGTTATAACAGTCATAACATCATAATATTATAGGTTTATGCCGGGAGCCTGACTGATTTCCGAGTGCTGTTTAGCGACCGTCCCACCCTCCCCCCCCCCTCTCCCCCCTCCCCCCCCCTGGTGCTTCCTTGTCACACCAACTGATGTGAAGAAAAATTCTGCGGACGACATACTCAGGTTAGTGACTTCAAGTGGAGTTCTTTTCAATCTGTCACTCACCGCACTTTTGCCATCACCATCTCCTTTTGCTCTTTCTTTTCCTGAGCAGATCTGGAAGTGGAAGGAGTCGTTCAATATATACAATTTCCGCTTTGAATTCAACACCTTTCAAACCAAATTCGATAATTCCAATTTTGAAATCGAATTTAACAGTTCTAAAATCCGATTCGGCGCAGGACGGTCTTATATGGAGCAACTGCTTTTCTTTTACAACTAGAATAACAAGGGTTGTAAAAAAATCAAAGATGCGTCCTTCCCCGATGTAGGTTGGGCACACTATTGTTAACAAAGTTGCACTTCTTCTTTTCCTGTAGCGCTCGTGCTGAGAAGTCGAGAGTGTGAACTCACTGGTTTGCAGCCGAAGGGGGCTGTGTTGAACGCAGTCAAGGCAGCAGTGGCACTTCTCGAGCGTGATCTCGAACTTAATGAGAACGTTTGGCTTTATAGACAGGATACAGCATCGTGGAGACGACCCCCCTCACCTGAGGGACGGTCTCAGGGCAATCCTCTCCCTCTTCTCCAGCACCTACTTACCTCTTTCTTACGAAGTTCCCAGCTTCATACCAGTTCTTCCGGAATTTCCCGCATTAAATTCCATGAAGCAGGAAGGGGGGGGGATAGTGGGTAATAACCATTGGGAGAAGAACCGCGAAAACTCAACAACCGGGGAAAAGTTTTTCCCAGCTGGCACACTCTCTCAAAGGCACATACGATCCCCCCTCTCCCAACAGCGATCAAATACGACCCCCCCCCCTTCCCAGCGGCCAAGTACGACCCCTCATGTGTTTCACACAACGATGTTGTACCCTGTTTATAAACGAGGTCCACCATAGGCGCCGCTCAATATGCTGCAGGATGTCAGGGGACAGCTCCATTCTTGTGTTGCCTCTACAGGGGTGTTCGACTATGGTAGCTGTCCATCTGTAGGCTTCAACAATGATTCTCTGTATTCCCGTGAACAAGAGCCACTTTAGCAGCTGGGCAGGTTGATTTCCCCTTAACGATGATTCGTGGACTGTAGCAAACACGGAAAAACCCACCCTGATTCCCAGCGGAGAAAAGACCCATGCCAGGACATATCGAACTTTCTGCCATCTTCGACACGTCAAATCCAAAACAGCAAGACAGCGACAATTTGTCTGTGGGGCAACGCCACTACCACCAGCGCAGCAATATTACGAATAGGGGGGCTGTTCAGCGACCGAGGGGGGGGCGCATTTGCCACTTTCATGCTGCCGATTTTCCAGTTTTCAGGCTTCACGTCTGGTAAAGCCTGAAACTGTGAATACTTGTTAAGCTAGAGCAAGCTTGTCGAGCTACCATGAAAAAGCATGTCAACCCTTGTTAGCTCACGAAATAGCTCTCTGGTTGGTAGCGATAGCGCAAAATCGTCCCCGCACCCCGTCCGTCGAACTGATTGTGAGCCTTACGATTTAGGTCTTGCTCGATTCATTACTATGGCTCGTCATAGCGTCAGCAAAAAAAGCCTTTTGCGTCTGGACAGGCAAACAAAAGAAAAAACGATGTGGCGCTTCACATTGGAGACAATGGATTTATTCCCACTCCATGGGCCATGTTCGCTAAAAAGAGCTTGCGTATGGGTGTTGCGTATGTTTCCGATAGCGTTGCCGGGAATAAAAACGAGTAGGAAAAGCCGTCAAAATTTCTGAGAAACTTCAGGGATAGCAGACTTCAGATTTGAGGAGGAAAAAATGAGTGTGAAGCTACGATTTTTAGAGAATAAAGAACAAGATCTTGCTTTCATCGAACGTACTTTTTTGTAGGTTTTGCAGGTTCCTTGCTCCCTTTTGGAGCCTCCTTGCTCCCTTTTGAACCTTCCTTGCCTTCCTTGCTTCCTTTTGGATTTTTCATTATCCTTTAAAGTGATTTCGTACAACTCGTGCAATCATCCCTGGACACTAGTAGGAGAAAAAAACGTACGACTTTGGTTGTTTTTTCGCCTTGAGTTCTATACGTTTCGAGTCCTGTTGTTCCTTGAGAGGGATGCGTGATGACTTTATTTTTTCTGCTGATAGCTTCTTCTTTCCCTTCTCTTGTGAGGGTTTCAACATCTTACTCGCAGTAGAAGATGGTTTACTGGGCGGTTTCGGTGGCGCCTGCTTACTTCCTGCACTAGAGGGCGGTTTCGCATCTTGGGATCCCAGTTTGCGAGCCATTTGCTTGGAAGGCTTTGAGTCAGCCTGTGTAAAAGAAGTTTCATCTGAAGGGAACGTGATTTGTGTATTTCTGGTGGATGGTGGGCTTCATTGCCTAATCAGACTACGTCAGCTCGCTGACGGCTTCCCAGAGCCCCGTCATAGTGACGAACATTCGAGTGTTTGTTACACCCATTGAACCTCCACCTATATATACA